GGTGATGGGGAATGAAACGAGTGAAGTTGCAGGTCCTTTCGTTTAGTCATTTAGATCTCCTAAATGAAAAATAATTGCATCCAACCAGAAAGGGACATCACTAACTACTCATAAAAAATGCTTTTACTGATTATTATCATTCCAGAAGAATTCCATTAAACTCACCTTCCCCATATATAGGGGCCATATAGGCTTTCTGCAGCACTCAGCCAGCGCTCCACCATACCAGACAGCTTGCTGATGGCTGCTGGCAGCAGGCAAGGTTCTGCCCACACTCTGCTCCTGTCAGAGAAGAGAAAAGTCAGAGCTAATGACTAAATGCACAGATGTAATTCCCTCTTAAAAAGAGAAGATCTCTATCTTCCTACCACGCTGCTGTTTCTGCGATAAGGTCTCAAGTTGGGGTAAGTACTCTGTTGCGCAAGGCACTGTATGGAGTCACAGAGATTTCACAATTTAAGAAAGGGACAATAAACAGAGTAACAAAAACATATGTTTAACCCAGCTCTTCTAGTGTGGTTCTGTGCAATTTGGTCTAGCCAGGCAGAGCTTTTACACTGTGAAGGATCACAGTTATTCAAGCCAAGATCGCAGCATGATCTGTTCTGTTAACCTTCACGCAAGCTACTGTCTAAATTCCCTGCCAGTCCCTCATACAGATATATCAGGATAAAGAAGAAGCAACTGACTGCCAGTCTCACCTGGGACCTATGTCTGCAGGTATAAGGTCCCCTGCCACCAAAGCCACCAGATAGGCAGGAACTGGGTACTCCATGTAAAACTGGTATACACCCTCCTGTTCTGAGTAGGTACTTTGGGTGGCGCTCATCAACACCTGGATACCGGCAGGAGCCTGAAACACCAACACACATATGCTTAAACTGGCTCAGGCTAAAATGACTGGAGATTGAGAGGTCAGAGGATAGAATTCGATGATTGAGAAAAGTTACATATAAAGTTTGGATTTTTCTTTTTTTTAATCTCTGGCTCAGCTCCCTGCGAAGTGGTTATACTGGAATATATTACCTAACGGTAGTAAAGACTCAATACACCCTCATGCTTATTTCAGATGTATGCCTGTTCCACACACTGAGTGGCTCCAGCTACCCAGGGGATCACATTATTTGGTACTGCCTTTACAAAACTATTTGCTCCACTTTCAAGACCAGTTATGAAAATAATTGAGAGTACGACCCTCAAAAACCATAACTGGAAGCCTCTGGTCAAATCCGCCCTATCCTAATATCCACGTCTGAACTGTTCATTCAACATGGAGACTACTGGAATAAAAAGCTGGATGGGAGGCAGAATTGCTTCAAGGTGGCTTCTCTGGGTCTCTTCAGAAGACCCAAAATCCCAAGTCTGCAACTAGATGACTTTTACTTTGCTAAAAACAGCAGAGTGCTCCAAAAATGGTTCATACCACAAAATTACCTACCTTGACAGTAGCTGAATAGGTACATTTCACTGCTGGCGTGTCAAAGCATGGAAAGAAGGACCGGTTACACACTGAGTGGCCCTGGGTGAAGACAAATGGCTTGGCGTTGCCATAAGTTAGCTCCGGATCCAGCCACCAGATCTGTTGGAACATGGAAAAGAGACAAAAATCTAAATCAGGGGCCAGGGAAGGAAGCATCAGAAATAAAACGTGATATTAAGAGATGCAATAAAGAACCAGAGAGTCAGTAATCCTCCTCTCTCACTCCTGGTGTAATGCAGTTTCCATTTCACTGCTTCTTTTCCTGGCTGTGTGTTTACCATGAACACCCCAAACAGGATCATTTTCTGTGACCATCTAGTTTCACACTGCAGAGCTCTGCATAGATTGATGCACTTGGTGAACACTGGTGAACTCACCTCCCAAACCTTCATTTTTAGTTTTAATAAAAGTGAGTGGATGACACGTCAGTACGGCAAGCTTCAAAACGCGGATTTACAACACTGAGCATCACCATCTCTGGTTCCTAACACAGCGCTTGCATACTGCTGAAATGCAGTCACCAGAGGGAGGGAGAAGGGCAGCACTCGAGCAGTCTTGGGCTGAAATCAAACCTCAACCCAAGTTCCTTTTTACTAAAAGTGGGGCTGAGGGTGGTACCTACCAGGTTTCCTCAATTACTGATGCTTAGGTATGGCCTTCTTTTCTTTTCCCTGCCTTTGCCACTCTGTAACTTTTCCTCTATGCCTGAAACAAGTATCAGGGGCAATTCCTACCTGGATTTGCAGCCATCTGCTGGGGGCTTACAACCGCCATGTACTGTGGGGTAGCTGCTGCGTTCCCTTCTGCAGTCGTCTCCGTTTCAGCAGCCACTGAATAATTTGCATTAAGGAACTGGCAGCAGCAGTCCCGCTGCTTAAGCTGGAGGGATGCATCCTCTTCATATGTCAACTCTCACACCATTAACTGTCCCCACAAAGAAAGAGATTGGAAGCCAAACTGTATAAAGGTCTGCCGCTCAGTGACTTATTGACCCAGCTCCTCTTGCAACTCTCTTGGTGCTCCTATTGCAGAAAAGGTCAGGCCTACAAAAATGTGATTTATTTAGTTGGCCTTGCCGAAGAGCCGTGTCCTTCAGGAGCTCATTCCTTTTGTTTCTTCGAGGGGCAGATGCGATCAGTTGTGAAAATACAGAGATTACTGCAGATTACATAGGAGGAGGAAGACATGCCCCATTCTGCAGCAGGCAGGGAGGGGGGTAACTAAGGATTTATTAGCATGGAGATACCAAGAGGAAGCGCTCTCCTTCCGGCACAGGAAAGAAAGAGAATCAGGAAGCCAAGCAGGACTGAGAAGCTGGCTCTTATTTATGAGCCATCTCATAAAATATGTATGTTTTCAAGCAAACTAGCCACAATGAGACTTCTGGACCAGGCTGAACAAAGCCTCAGGGCCAGTCCTCCTGCCCCTTGGGACAAGATGGAAACAGTTTATGCATCGACTATGAAGCATCTGTCTTTTTCCTAATACCTTTGGCCATGGCACAGGCCACAACCATACAGAGCTGTTTCCACATGTACATGCAACAACGATGAAAGCTCCCCTGAAATACTTATAAATAGACTTGCTGTTGAGTCCAGGCCGTGTTTGGGAACAGCACCAGAGGCAGGGAGATGGAGTAAGAAAAGTCTGCAGAAGTGGCAATCCACACAGGAGTGCGGAGAGTGGGGCATGGACTGGGGACAAAGTGGGTAGGGGGAGGCCTGAGGCCAAAATGTCTCATTTCAGAGAGGGACCAGTCTGGGAGCAGCAGAAGGAAGGGTGAGGGAGGGGAAAGACGAAAGGAGACATGGCGAGAGGTGAGGAATACGGTGCTGTCTGGCCCTCAATGCCACGATCCTTCAGCCCTCCAACAAACCTGCACCACTCGCTCAACCTTGCACTTGCCCCCTCTGGCTTGTACAATTATGGGCAGAAATAAAACAGGAACAAGGTCCCATTTTCTCTCCAAGGAATCCACCCCCCACCCCCATGCTCTGTAACAATAAAAGACTTCAACATCATGAGTTGCAACACAGTTAATAGTTACAGATACAAACTTGCAACATCTTTTTGAGTCACCTAAGCCAAAAACTCCTTGCTACAACCGTTGCGCACAGGTCGCTCCAATTCTTTTCAGAAACATCTTTCCTGCTCCATCAGCACATCCTACTAGGCTCTCCAGTGCTACCAGGGTGGCTCAAGCAGCCTCCCTCCTGTGAACACATCACCTGTGCTCCTCTTCTCCTTGCCACCCACAAAGTGGGGAGCTCCCATGAAATATCTCCACGCACCTCGCCTCCCCTACCCCAGGGAAAGTACAGGGAGTGGTGGCTTTGCCCAACTCCCCCCAGTGAAAGACAGACGGCTTCTGATCGCCTGGTGCTGCAAGAGAAGTACAGGAATGGATGATGCATTTCAAGCAGCCGGCGCACAGCATCACTATTTCCTAAACCAGGTCTGTCTTTGTGCTGATTTGACGCGTGCCAGAGTCAGACAGCTGAGCTTGTTGTGGTTTTGAAGCCCACCGTCGACACCGTTTTGATTTTCCGTCAAGCCGCGGAGAATAAAGCCAGCCCCCCACTACTCCCTGCAGGGCTGGCATTCAGCCAAACAATATGCTGTGCACCGCTCTGTCGGATAAGGATCTCAGACGGACGGGAGGAAATTCATGGATGATTTGGAAAAGCGAGACACATCTGGGAAGTAGGGAAAACTTAGGGGGCACTGAGATAACATCACTAGTGGGAATGATACAAAGGTCTCCTGCTGTCTGAGCACCGCGGACCTTGATTATAGCACCAGGACGAGGAAATTCTAACAGTTTTTATAACCTCAAATGCCAACACCAGCTTATCCCATTGTCACAGAAAGAAAACAGCACTGGCAACAACATGTTCATGGCCAAGTCAGAGGCGCGTCGCTGCTGGAGACTTGAAACACGGACAGAATTCACTCTCACGGACAGCAAAGAAATGCCTGCTACAAAAACCCACTTGTCGGACTGGAAGGCTAACGGGGTCGGCCTACCCTCACTTCAAGATGCTCCGCTTCTGTATTCAGCCCGCACACCACTAAAGTAATGCTGGGCTTAATGCAGGTTTGCTCTCGAAGCACAAAGGTGGCACACGACACCGCTCAGCAGGGAACTGGGATAGTCTGTGCAAGGCAGATTTAATCTCCCAGCTGTCTTTCAATGTCCCTTGGCCACAAAAAAAAAGAAAGAGAAAAATTTGCTCTTGCCAGGTCTACATGAGAAATAATGGACAGCTGCACAAGAGATCCAGACTGCTCGAGCCAAGCAGATAAATGGAACAGGATTCCAATTTATTCCATACCAATTTCTATTCTCTCTGTCTCTCTTACTGCTGACACCTCTGGTGGCTCAAAATATTTGACAACAAGTCTGAGTGTGCCAGGGGCCCAAAAGACCCATCACAAGAAAGGTTCTGCAAAGGCTGAAAAGACCCAGGGAAGCACAAAGAGGGTGAGGCTTGCAGCAAGGAGACATCTCAAGAGCTATGATTTATGCCGCCAGTAAAGAGAAGAACGATTTAAAGGAATTTACCCATTTGTTGAAACCGGGGAGCAAAAATAAATCAGTCCTCCTTATTTCCATGAACATCATTCATTTATGAATTAGGAGTTCAGCACACAGCTGAAATAGGACCGTGGAAAATGTCACCAGGAGACAGTCCAGATCCTCTGCAGTCTTTTTGGCTCCAGAGAAATATTATCGATAGCATAGGCTAAAACAGGGCAGGACTGAACTGGAGTGAATGGAGGGCGCAGTTTTGTTTGTAGAATAGTTACAAAGTAAATCTGCTGCCCTGGCTTGCTTCCCTCTCAGACCCCCAGGCGTCTGCTCCTATTTCTCGGCATCGCTGCGAACGCCTGGAGAAGCAGGTGCTGCCGCAGCATTATTCGTACAACACTACATTGTGTAGCCCCGTTCCAACAGAAGGTGCCAGTGCCAAGGGTACCAAAAAGACTTCAAAAGCAAAGCCCAGGATGACGCAGGGCTTGCTCACTCTGTCCAGCAAAGACCAGCACAGGAACAGGAAAATGGAGATGCTGGATGAGGATCTTCTCACAGCAGCCAGGCATTCTGAACCTAAACCAGGCATGATAAAGCACTGCATCCAGGCCCGAGGACACAAGTTTGGGCAGAACAAAGCAGCCCATTTCTGAGCAACGCGAGACAAGTGTTCTGCACCCTCCATTGATTCCCAGGGCCCTGCGACTTCTGGTCCTGAATCAGGACCCGGCTGTGCTTGAGACCATTCCCCTATCCATGAGCCACTAAACTGCTGCCCCATAACACAAAGTACGACCACCAAAGAGAAAAACCAGAATCTCATTCAAGGCGACTAAATTCTAGAATGAACTGCTGGGGGAAGTCAGATAAAGATGCGAATGAACTTTTTTTGCCAACTGCAAATCTTAAGCATTTAGCAGAACCTTCCCAAGAAAAGAAAGGCAAAACCAAGCTGGTTTCTTCTTGCATCTTCGGCAGAACCAAGACCAGATCTTCTTTGAGATCCACTGCAGACCACACAGAGCAGATGCACCTTTTAGTGCCTGGCGACTCCCCTGGTTCAGAAAAACATGAAACAGGAAGCACAGAGGGGTGACAGCCTGTACTGTCTCATTTTGGCAATTTTGCTACCGAAGCCAACTTTACTTTCTCTTCTCATGGCAGTGCTGCGTTACAAAGGACAGCACCTTTACAACCAAAGGAAACAGGACTTTCAGTTGCAAACATGACAAACTGTATTCTGGTTCAGTCCAATTTGAAATGGTTAAATGACGTTAGACCACCAAGGACTCCTGCAGAGTTACAATCCAAGATCAGGCGCAGATCAAAAGACATCTAGTAAAATTACCACTACCCAGAAATCTGTTTCCCCCCCCACAAAAGTGTGTTTCATTTACTGCAGTAAACTGATCTGTCCAGTTTTTGTTCTCCTTAGGGAATCTGCCAGAACGTAAAATAAGGTTTGTAATTAAAACAGCTGCACATGCCAGGCTCATTGATTTTGTGATCTCTACAACTCGATGCAGCGTATTATCCTAAATCAACAAGGTAAGATAGACAGAGTTAAGTTGCATCA